TACATAACATGATGCTCTGCCTCAATGGCTTTCTCTTTTACATTATAATAGGATTTTGAGTAAAACGCTTTACTGACTAGTGTTTTTTAGTTAAAATGACTTTGAAAAACAAACATCTTTCAAAGAATTTCCTAGCCTTTCATTTGCAAAATATTAATTGACAAATATGAAGATATGTAGTTCTCTTACAAAGAGATATGAAAAAAGACCCAGTGTATAGTCTATTTAAGACCATGTCTTCCACTAGAATATTTAGTACATAGAAAAGAATAGCTTTTGATATAAATATTTTACTAACTAGAAGAAGGAAAATGGCAAAGAGAAAAAGCAGACAGGCAGGAAGTCAAAGTTTATTCAAAAGCTCCTTTGCAAAATAATTCTTGACAAAGATGACAGAGATGAGTTAGTGGAAAGAATGAACATCCTGAGGCACACTACAATACTGTTCCTCACAGTTTATTTTGAAGAGCTACTTTACTCCATTACTTCCTTAGAAATCATGATGCAACAACAATAACTTACCCCACATTTTGGAAAGCTCTGCCGTTACGGAAATAAACCTAACCAATGAGGTCAAAGATCTCTGCAGTAAAAACTTAACAAAGAAATTGAAGAAGACACCACACAACAGAAGACCTTCCAAGCTCCCACAATAGCAGAATCAATTGTGTGGGAATGACTGTGTTACCAAAAGCAATTAATCTACAGATTTGAATCCAATCCCAATCAAAATTATGAAGACATTCTTCACAGAGCTAGAAAAGATAAGTCTAAAATTCACATGTAAACACAAAAAGCACAGATAACAAATGCAATCCTAAGCAATAAGAATGCTGTTGAAGTTCTGACAATAACTGACCTCAAATTTATACCAGAAATACTGTGACAAAGAAAGCATAGTGCTGGCATAAAAACACATGGGCCAGTGGAAAAGAATAGAAGACCCAGAAATGTATACATCTTTGACCATCTAATGTTTTCTACAAAGGTGTTAAGAATTACATTAGAGAAAAAGTACCCCACTCAACAAATAGCGCTGGCAATCTGGACAGCCACATACAAAAGAATCAAATTAGACCATATATCCTACCTATCACCCACAAAAACAAACCAAGATGGATCAAAGGCTTTAATGTAAAACATGTTGCAGGAAGATAGTTTAGGATAAAGTTAAGGTAAGAACATTCTCAAAAGAATTCCAACAGTATAAAAATACTGGCATATGGGATTACATGAAATCAAAAAGCTTTTGCACAGGAAAGGGATTTAAATATCAGCACAGTGAAAACGTAGCCCACAGCATGGGAGAAAAAAATTTTTTTGCCAGATTTGGATATAGTAACAGTATCTAGAATACATAAAGAACTGCAAAAATTAAACATGCAAAAACCAAAAATGCTGATCAATAAATAATGAATAAGTGGGCAAATAAACTGAAAAGACCCTTCTTAAAAGATGAATCACAAATGGCCAATAAAGTTAGAAAGAATATTCAACATCCTTATCTACCAGAGAAATATAAGTTTAAACTCCCTTAAGAGTCCACCTTATTACAGTAAGAATGTCCATCATTAACAAAACAAATGCTGGCAAGGATCTGGAGACAAAAACAAAACCCATATTCACAGCTGGTGGGAATGTAAACTAGAGCTGCCACTATGGAAATCAGTGGAGGTGTGCTGGTCACCTGGCATGAGGGAACCTCAACTAAGGAGTTGCCTTTGGGAATGTCAGCAGTTGCATTGTCATGAAGGCAGTTCCACCCCGGGAGAGGCAGGACTGGGTGCATATCAAAGGAAGCTGAGCAAAACCAGGGGAACAGGTTAGTGTTCTCTGCTCCTACCTCTGCTCCTGCTTGAGTTCCTGACCCGACTTTCCTCAATAATGGACTGTGATCAGAAAGTGTAAGCCACCTAGCAAGCTGCTGTTGGCCAAGGTGTTTAACAAAGCAACAGAAAGGCAACTTTAGACAGGAGGCTTTGTAATAACTTAAAACTAAAGCTTTCATATAACACAACTCTACTGCTATTGGGTACATCCTAAAAATGCTAAATAGCACCATGGGTATTTGCACATCCATGTTCACTCATGCATTGCTCACAACAGCCAGGAAATGTATTCCACCTAGATGTTCCCTAACAGATGAATAGACAATGAAAATTCTGTATATATACACAATGAACGTTTTTATTCAGCCAAAAGGAACAATGAAACTTTGGGTAATATTAATGGATCTGGAAAGTATTATACTTAATGAGGTAACCCAGGCACAGAAAGAAAGGGGTCCATGAGAGGAGAGAAAAGAAGAATTTTTAAAAAAGAGTCAGGAAGGAGAATTTTAAAAAATGTATTAGAGTGCAATAATGAAAAATTACTTTTTATGATAATTAAAAACAAAAAGCAGCTTCAGAGTCTAGGCTGATGGTGAGAGAATGAAGCACCTGGTGACTTAATTATTAACTGTGGTGAACACTGTGATCTTTCACCCACTGTGATCACAGATGACACAGGACAGGAAGGCTTTTAAGTTTTGTTTGCATTTCTTTACTGTAAATTTGAGTGATTCTTCTTAACATTAGTAATTCAAGTAATTCAAGATCAAATTTCCCAAGTAACTGTGAATCTAGGTTCCAGAAGATCCACAAACAGTGCCAGGTGTCATGGCTCAGGAGACAATTTCAGAAAGTCACCCATCAAGCAAACTACACTACAGCATTACTATTCTACCACAAGCAGTAGAGAAATCCATTTATCAGAATAATTAAGCACACTAAACCTTGTAATGAAAATGTAATCTACTATGAACACAGATAACCTCTTTAAGAAAACAATATGAAGTGATGGTAATTTTATACTGTAATATAATGCGAAATCATTAATATATCATATGGTCACTTTCTTCATTTCATGAAACATTATCCTTCTTAACTCAGTGTATAAATTGGGGTAGCCTATGAAGAAATATTTATCAAAATTAATTTTAAATATTAGCTGGTTTTAAGATTACAGAACTCAAACCCCTGAATTTGGTTTCTTTTAAAGAGTACTGTGTTAAAAATGGAGTCAGAACCATTCAGGATAATCAGGCAAAGCCGAATTTTTGCATAAATGCCCAAGTTTTCTTTGTGTAGATTGTGATGGATCACAGCACATTGAAGAAGGTTTTAGCTTCTTTGTGTTCTCCCAATGGTTGCATTTAAAATAGCATTTTATAGACTAAGTTATAAGTAAAATGAAGAGGACAGTGAATATATTATCAATCAGCATCAATAGCTGTTGTAAATTTAAAAAGCAGTGCTAGAGAGAAAGAAGCCATGCAACAGAGCTTAGGTGGAGGTTTTTTTTTTAATTGGGGGAAAGTGAATAGGAAAAGGGGAAGGGAAGTGGGGAGACTGGCAAAACCAGTCCTCTGAGGACAGGAACTGCAGAATAGAGGGGGGGCATGAGGGGGGGGAAAGAGAGGAAGGAGGGAGGGAGAGAGAGGTTGTGTGTGGGGGGGTCAGAGAAGCAGAGAGAGAAAAGTGAAAAGAAAAAAAAACACGGGAGGTAGGCAGAGCCCTTTTAAAAGGAAACTTAGTGAATGTTCACAGGTAGTGCAGCTAAGGGCATATCCTGTCAGAACCCCAAGTGCAAGCCAGTACAGATGCCTGAATACTAATAGCTGTTACATAATCAAGACTCAAGATCTCTTTCTGTGAATATAGTAAAGCATTCAGATCTTCCTTACCAAAGTACTTCACAAATGATTCAAAACCTTCCTTGCCTACAAAATGCTTTCCAATTTCAAATGCTATGCAACTAATAACAAGAGCCTTTGAGAACAAAAGTTCAGCAATGTTGCATATAAAATGATATTTCTCATTAAGCTGAGAAATAGCACTTAGACTTTGTATAGCTTATACACTTATTAATAATATTTTAAAAGTCAAATTACTAATGTCTAGGATGATTAAAATGGGTATTGTTATGTTTGTGTATATTTATACTTTAATTTAAATATATAATTTTCTTTTCATCAAGCAAGCTATCCCCTCCCCACTTTTAAGACAGGGTGGCATTATATAGCTCCGCTGGCCTGCAACTTATGGAGACCCTATTGCCTCTGCCTCCTTAGTACTGGGACTAAATTTGTGCACCACCATGCCTGGCCCATCAAACTAGCTTGAAAGATAATTGTCAGCCATTTTGACAGACAATACAGTAAAAGATATGTGTATGTATAATAAATTATTTTTAAAAAAACATAGGTAAGGGATTGTACATCAGTGGTAGATTACTGGTAGCATAGAAAAGGAAGGGTTCAACCCTCACATCACTACCCCAAAAGAAAACAGAGAAAGCAAATATAGTCAACTAAGATAAATAAAAAGAATAGAGTACACAAAAGCAAATACAAAGGGATTTTTGAAAATGAATCCCTGACACATTCTACTGCCTAAAATTATCAATGGGGTAAGGCTATAATTCAGTGGCAGAACACATAAGTCTAAAGGTTTGAATCCTGCTACTGCAAGAAGGAAAGAGGAAGAAGGAAAGGAAAGGAAAATTAAAGGATCTAAACTTTTATCATTTTTCTCTCTTGGAGCAACCAAAAATACCACATACACGAAGATAACAAATGGAGTACTTAATTACTGTGTGTGTGAGGGGGTCTCAATCATATTCCTTAATGTAATATAAGTGCATCAATATTAAAAACCCCTGACTCTAAATGCATTTATTTAACCTTTTTAAGTTATACTGGTAATGTATTATTCACAGATATAAGCTTATTAGGAAAATAATTACACAAATTTAACCATCTAATTTTATTTTGTGGGAATTACATAAGCCTTAATATTTTTATTACTGACAAATAATATAATTACATAATCTGTATTAAAAATTCAAATGAAATTTTGGTCTGTGAGTATGGGTTAAAAAGAAAAGTATGTGATAAAAGAAAACTGGTTCTAAGTAGACCTTTCTAGTTCGTCACAGGTATGAAATGGCCACTGTACCTCACACAGCAGTAGGTCAATGATGTGGAACACCATGCAGAGAGGAAACTTGGCAGTAAAAAGAGTGAGGAACCACTGGGATGCATACATATGAGCTTCCAGGTTCAGATCACAAAAATGGTTGTACAGGTCCGGCAGCTGTTCCTAAAAGTCAAAATCAAAGACTTAGGTGTGCAATTGCTGAAGTAGTTTCATTTCTTCCAACAACGGCAATTTCTATCAAGCTCTCTGTTGTACTCAAAGTGTATTCCAGCACTGGTTTTCTTTTATGTCAGTGTATAGAAGTGAGTGCAGGAGATGGGAATGGAACAGATGACTGATGCGTGTGGACAGAAAACACTCATTATAACAAAAATTGTCCTTGCTATCACAAGTGTTCTTGCTTCCTGGGAAAATCTTGTTCTCTCAGAACACCTTCATTCTATTGAAAATACTGAGTCCTAGCTAAGACCCAGGATTCTTCTCCTACCTACCTAGAAACAAAATATGTCTTCACCTGGTAAAATCATAAAATGACATTATCTGAGGTATATAGTATGATTTTAGAATATTCTTGAGCACTTGGAAAACTCCAAAGCATTACCAGATATTAAAACCTATCTAGGAGGTGGAGAGATGCTTCAACAGTTCAGAGCTCTTGCTGATCTTCCAGAGGACCTGAGTTTGGTTCCCTGCACCTCAGTCAGGTAGCTCCCATTTAACAGAGATCTGCTGCCCACTTCTGGTCACCATGGTGACCCAAACATAAACCCATATGCATGTAGATATATACATACATAGATATCTTTAAAAAAAGTAATCTTGATCATATGAAAATGATAAAATAAAATTGTACAAGAGTATAATAAAGATAACTAGCTCCTAGCAATGCCTTTATGCTACCTTTAATTTTCACTAGCTAAACATGCTTTTCAAAGGCATGAGAGTCCAAGCACAAAGTATTCCCATAACTGAAGGACAGAAGCAAAAACACAGAAAAGCTCATGTTCATTTTCCTCTACAAACAGATCTCTCTCTCTTTCTCTCTCTCTCTCTCTCTTTCTCTCTCTCTCTCTCTCTCTCTCTCTCTCTCTCTCTCTTTATCTATCTCTCTCTCTCTCTCTCTCACACACACACACACACTAAACCATTTATTTCACAAAAATGATCACTTTGAAAAGGACCCAAATGTATCTTTTTGACAGTTTAAATAAGATATCTAATGTTACCAAGCCCAACTAGTTCTTCATTTATTAGATATAGTTATTTGACTTTTAAAGACAAGGTACGCTGACTTTTGAAAAAAAAATGAACTTTCATGTCTGAAAAGTGAATAGCATTAAAAAAAATAAAACAAACCTATTTACATATTCAATTTTATTCATTAAACCTTCATAATTAATTATTGCCCATAGGGATTTTTTTTTTATAACAACAAACTTGTGGGTGATAGAATTTTCTACTTTTCCTTACCTGCATTAGTTTCTCAAGTTGATAGAATTTGCAATGAAGATCTTCAAAATTGTTTTTGTACAAGTCTCTCAATCCATATTTACCCATGATTTTCACCAAAACACAGAATGCTTGCTCCTCTGGCATCTATAAGAAACACACATATGAAATATGAATGAATGCCACTTGTTCAGAATACATGAAAAGGTCTTTTAAGCCTCCTTAAAAATGGCTGAAGGCCTGTTGTTACATTAGTCTTAGACACCTGCTCCCTGATCTCTGGCGCAAAATCTCCTAACTACTCAATAATTTTGACTCCTGCCAGTGTTTCTGCATAAAAAAGACTTGACATATTTTTTCTATATAAAATAATTACATTGTATTTTACTTTAGCCTTTGCTACACAAAAGGTAAATATATACCACACACATATATAACATATTTTGCTTTTCTCCCATTAACATGTTGAATTATTTCCCTCTTGTTATATAAACAATTGCATCTTTATTTTTATAACAGTTGTAGAGCATTCCATTGTGTGAATATTCTGGAATTCACCAAATCAGCCTCCTATTAATAGATAATTGAGTTACTATTAATTTTGTATCACCAACAGCTTCAACAAACAACTTTGTATACACATCGACTTTGACAAAGGAAAAGGATTAGACTGACAAGAAATAAATGGATTTTTGTTTATTTATTGCTTGGTTTTTGAAACAAGGGCTCGTTATATACTGCCTATCTTCCAAGTTCTAAAGTTATAGGTGTTAGGCCATCAATCTTTGGTTGTATTTTAAATTTTGATAGTGTAATGTTACCTTTCTAGAAACTTCTTTGTTAAGAGAAGCTTTTTCTTTGCTAGCTGCTTTTTGACTCTCTTGTGTTTCTCCTACCCAGAATCCTCCTGGACTCCTAGTCCCACCTATCTAGATTCCTATTGGCCAGACAGTGCTTTATTGGCATAAGACTTCCCCAACACTTCTTGATGTTATTTTTCTTTCAATAAAAAAAATAGAAAAACAGCCAGGGGGTGGTGGCACACGCCTTTAATTCTAGCACTCTTGGAGACAGAGACAGGCAGATCTCTGTGAGATCAAGACCATCCTGGTCTACAAGAGCTAGTTCCAGGACAGCTTCCAAAGCCACAGAGAAACTCAGTCTAAAAAATCAAAACAAAACAAAAATAGAAAAGGATCTTACGAGTTTCTATCAATAAGATTTAAATGACCAAAATAAATCAATCCTTTCAGAGATATTTTATTGAACAAAACCTGAAGTCAAAGGAACGAATTTCATAATTATGATATCACAGAGCTCAAACAATACAAATAGGAAAGTAGTCAGTATTCTGAAAATTACAGTAAGAAGAGAGACAATGGTGTCATACTTAAAGTCCAAGGGATAACAAAATGTTGTGGGATATTTGCTTGCACTGACAATCCAAGACTACTAATAAAGTTAAACCTTGAATCAAAGGGCAGAGTCCATGACAAGGTAACTGGAATTAGCCAAAGACATTTTAGAGGCCAGATAGGAAGGTACAGGAAAAGAAAAGGTGGAGCTTAGAAAGATTTCATGATCATTTTGATCTTGGAAGGTAGAAAGAGTCAGTCCTTTGTTTCTCCCATGCTTTCTTGATTTATCAGGTTTGCAACCCAATATCTGACTCCTGAGTTTTTTATTGATAAAAAAATAACTTAGATAAGCACATCATCTGGTGTCTAACACAGGGCATTAGATCATGCCAAGGTGGTAAAACCACCAGTCAGTATATTTTATGTGTTATACTAATCTACAATAAACTGTAGTCAATCATGAACTCAAATACAGTTCCCAAAAGTGCATGGTGACTACAGAAAAGATGCTGCAAAGCTGCAAAGATGTCTCAGCATGAAGAGCTCTTGCTGCTTGTCCTGGTTAGTTTTTTTGTTTTGTTTTTAATTGACATGAGCTACAGTTGGGGAAAAGGAACATCAACTGAGAAAAAGTCCATCATCTTGGTCTGTAGGAGAGATGGTAGAGCATTTTCTTGATCAATGATTGATGTGGAAAGGCCCAGCCACTGTGGATATGTCATCCTTAGTCAGGTGGCTCTGGGGTGCATGAGAAAGTTAGCTAATTCATGGTGGTGGTTTACATGACTTTAATTCCAGCACTCAGGAGATAGAGGCTGGTGAATCTCTATGAGTTTGAGGCCAGCCTGGTCTACAAAGCAAGATCCAGGAGAGGCAGGGATACATAGAGAAACCCTGTTTTCAAACTGCCTCCCCCCCCACAAAAAAAAATAAAGAAAAAGAAAAATGGGAAAGGTAGCTGAATGTGATGCAGAGGCGCAAGTCAGTAAGCACTGTTCGTCCACCCTCTCTGCTCCAGTAGCTGCCTCCAGTTCCTACCCCAATTTTTCTGTAAGATGAAACAAGCTTTTTCCTCCAGAAATTTATTTTGGCCAGTGTTTATCATAGCAATGAAAACCAAATTAACACACTGCTCTTGCAGAGGACCTGAGTCAAGTTCTCAGCACATTAAATTTTCTGTAACCTCTGGTAACTCCACCACAGTTGGCAGGGCAAAGGGGTGAGGGCATCTTTCCCATACCCTCATCACCAGCATTTGCATGTAAATTTTAGATTACAGTGAGGGTGGGATCATCTGTCCAAATTGTGGGGCCTGCTATTCTATGAGAGGTGGGGCCACCTCTTTGGCTTCAGTGGTCAGCAAGGGGCAGGACCAGCTCTCCCAGGGCCAGCAAAGGGCAGTGCAGGCAAAGTACAGCCGTCAGATTTCAATATGCATGTTTCTATGACCCCCATGGTAACACAGGCCATGGAGAGCAACACAGTACCCAGATGCAGTAGGACCATGGACTCAGATATGGCCCTTGGCAGCAGCTCAGGTCCCATGAAGCTGGAGTTAATGGCTGTGAGCTGTCTGACTTGGGTGCCAGGAACTGAACTCAAGGCCTCTAGAACAGCAGTTAGCACTCAATCCCTGAGCCATCTCTCCAGCCTGATATTCCCATCATTTCTTATTGCCACGAGGAAAGTCATATCTTAATCCTGTCTTTAAGGGAAATTTCATTAAGGGACTAATAACCTTTGAATATATTTTATTCTGAAATAGAATTCACAAAATACACAAAACTCAAATGTATGCTCTAATAAATAACTGGTAATAAAGAAAAAAACCCACAAGGCCTCCTGCAGCCACCAGCTAGTCTAAGAAAGAAAATACTGGTTTACCATTGAAAGATCCTTGTGTAAGCCTTTTCAGTCATGAACCTTTCCTAACAAATCTCCCCCTAGAAAATTCACCACCCTGACTTCAACAGGAGCCATTACATTGTTGTACTATATATTTCTTTTCATTTATGTAATGTTCTAAAAAGAAAAATAATTGCCCATTATTGAATGTTATATAAAACTGAATTACACCAAATGTAATCTTACATTTTATTTAGTAGAACTTAACGCTTATAGGATTCATTCATAATAATTTATACAGTGTAAACATTCTTTTCATTTCTGTAACATTCGACTACATAAAATACTACCATATGGCTATTTTAATGTTTCATTTTAACTGAAAGTTGGTATTGTAACAATAATGGATATTTCTTTGATGTTTTTGTTGTTGTTTTAAAAGAGTAGTTAATTTTGTTTTATGTGTATGAGTGTTTTGCCTGAATGTATGTATGAACACCACATGGGTGCCTCGTGCCTGTGGAGACCAGAAGAACGTACTGAATCCCTTGGAGCTGGAATTACAAAGATTGTAAGACACCAAGTGGGTGCTGAAAACTGAACCACGAGTTGTGAACTTATCCTAGGGCAATTAAACAAGGAGTTGTGATGTATGTGTGTAAAGTATTTGATCAAAATATTAAAGTGTACCTGTGAGTAAAATCACTGTATGTATGTACATATGTATATTGTATATATGTATATATACATACATATATCTTCACCAGAAAAACTAAAACTAAAGGCCTTGTGTCTACTTATAATTTTTTAACACAATACATTTAAATGTTATGGATAATTTAACACAATCCTTCTTGCATCTGAAGAGCTTCTCTGCATGCCAAATAATTTAAAATATAGTAATTTAACCTTAAAATGAGCATGACTTTGTAAAGGTCAAAAACAGTACACATTCAATTTAAATTAGTTTAAAAGTACTTGACAATGCATATGGTAGAAAAATATACTAGGTAGAAATTGTACATTATTTTTATAGAAAATGAAATATATAATCATTCACTGGATCTATTAATATCAGTATGGGGATATTAAGAATTATCTACATTTAAGTTCTAAAGTAGTTGAAAATTGTTGTGGTTCTAAGCTACCCATGCTATATTACTCTCTAACTACAGATAACATATTTCTTCTAACTCATTCAATGTATGTAAGAGTATCTATTTGATAATCCTTATACTGCTTAAACTATTCAATGCCATGGAGCTATTGCCAAAGCCCCTGAGAACTTTCTACACACAGAAGACATCTAATTTTAACAGACTATTTGGATATGAAACTCTTGAAAAATTCAGAACTTTATTTTTGAATATACTTTTGGTTTTTCTTTCCTCTTAGGTAATGAATGCAAACTATAAATGATTATGGGTACAGGAAGGACAGCATTTCTTAAAGAAGCAGACTCTGGCAATGATTAATATGCAGCTGCCAAGGACAACTGCAGCAAAAAAAAGCATGAGCAACTTATGTAACTGATAAAATTATTAGTCAGTATGACCCTAGTAACATCTCTCTGGACTTGAGATGGTGTGCTTGAAGAATCTGTTAGAGTAACCTATGGTTCTCTACTGGCTTAGATAACAGAGAAGAATGACACAGGAAAAGGCCTTTCTCTTATTCAAACTAGCTGGCAGACTAACAGGCTAACAAAATATGTTGGTTAATTTATAAAAGAAAATACAAATTACAAATTAGAATATATTTTCATTAGTATGATGTTGAATATCAGTTAACCTTTTCTTAAGGATCCTGAAGCCATTTCTGTCTTTCTAGTTATTTTTTAAATCCATGACAACTACATCATTTAATTAATTTAGAGTACAAGACACATTAAGGGGTGGGGTAGAAAAAAGAGAAGGGGAGAAGAGGAGGGGGAGGAGAACAAGAGGAATCAGAAAGAGTGAGACAGAAGAGGAATAGAGGGGAACAAGAAAAGAGATACCTTAAAAGAGGGAGCCATTATAGGTTTAAAAAAATCTGGCACTAGAGAAACTTTCAGAGACCCAGAAAGATGACCCCCAACTAATAATGTAGGCAGTAGTGGAAAGGCTGCCTTTGATACCCCTTCTCTATAATAAGATTCATGACTACCTTAAGTGTCATTCAAGAGCCTTCATCCAGTAGCTGATGAAAGCAGAAGCAGGCACACACAGCTAAGCACTAAGCCATACTCCTGGAATCTAGCTGTAGAGAGAGGGAGGAGGGAGGAGCAAAGGAGTCAAGACTGTGCTGGAGAAACCTACAGAACCAGCTGACTTGACTTACCTAGTGAGAGCACAAGGACCCCAGTTGTAATGCTGGGGAACCAGCATTGGACTGAACCAAACCCTCTGAATGTGGATGCCAGTGAGGAGGCCTGAGCAGTCTTTGGAACCTCTAACAGTAGAGCCAGTGTTTATCCCTAGAGCACAAATGGACTTTGGGAGTCCATCCTCTGTGGAGGGATACTATTTCAGCCCAGATACATGGAGGAGGGCCTAAGATATCCCCCAAATGATATGATAGACTTTGATAATCCCCCATGAAAGACATCACCATCCTTGGGGAGTAGGTGGGGGTGTGTTGGGGGGGAGAAGGAAACATGTGAGCATGGGAGGGAAAGGGAAGCAGGGATTGATACGTAAAATGATTGTTTCTAAAGAAAAAAAAGCACTGGAAGAAACCATCCTGAGTGAGGTAACCCAGTCACAAAAAGACAAACATGGTATGTACTCACTCATATATGGGTTTTAGACATGGATCAGGATAGTGCCAGTCTGCACTTTCACTGACAGAGAGTCTGGGAAACAGGAAAGAACCTAAAAGATATGCATAGTAGCCAAGAGAAGAGGAATGAGGCAAGATCCTCTGAACAGATGGGGAACACGCGAGGGGTAGGGGGGAGTGGGAGTTGGGAAGAAGAGAGGGGGAGAAGAGGAAGAGAGAGTAGGTCATGGGGGAACAGGAAGGTTGAGTGGGGGGTAGAATAGGGGGAAGAGGGAATCATAGGTTAGAAGACAGATCAGGCACCAGTGTGACCTCTAGTGATCTAAAGGGATGACACCAATTGGCAAGCTAAGCAATAGTGGAGAGACCACCTCGAATGCCCATTCCTGATAATGAACTTGATGTCTATAATCATCCGGGAACTTTCATCCAGTGACTGATGTAAGCAGAGGCAAACACCCACAGTTAACACTGAACTGAACCCAAGGAACCCAGTGACAGAGAGAGAGGAACGATGAGCAAATTGGCAAAGAATGGGCTGGCAAAACCAGCAGAGACAGCTGATCTGAACAGGGGAGAGCTTTTGGACCCCAGACCGACAGCTGGGAGGCAAGCATGGGACTGATCCGGACCCCCCAAATGTGATAATCAGTGAGGAGGCCTGGGCAAACTATGGGGCCCTGAGCAGTGGATCAGTGTTTATCCCTGGAATACAAACAGACATCGTGTGCCCATAGCACAAAGAGGGATGCTCTCTAGGCCTGGACTCTTAGGGGAGTGCCTGGACCCTGCCCTGAGTGAAACAACAGACTCTAGATATCCCCTATGTGGAAGGAATTGGCGATTGGATGGGAGACTGGGGGGGAGGGTGGTGGTGGGGTTGTAGGAGGAGGAGAGGGAGAGGGAACTGGGGTTGACATGCAAAACAAGCTCTTTAAAATCAAAATAATAAAAAAGAAAATAAATGAAAATAAAAAAGGATGTCTCTCTTGGGAGATATTTTACTGACCAAGTTCACAAAGGCTGACTTGTTATATGGCCTTCATTATTGCAAATAGGTATCACATAAAAGTTCTGATTATTTGGCTTTTCTAGGTATTTGACTCATTCTTGCTCTCCTTAGGCGGTAAGAACTATGTGGATACATTTCCAAATACTTACAAACCTGAAAATAAGCTAATCCTCCCAGAAACTGCATGCCAGATTTCTTAGCACTATGTTCTCACACAACTTTAGTCAATGTATTATCATATGTTTATAGAAAGGGCTATATTGTATAGTGATTTCTTCTAAATTCAAGCAATCCATCTTGGAGGGAGGTCTTTAAGATCCAGAAAGTAAATGAAACTTAGAGTCTTACAAGGCTCAGGAATGAAATAAATTTAGAAGTCTCAAGAAACTCCTAAGCGTTATAAGGGTCACAAGACCCTTCCCCCAGGTTATCAAAAAGTAATAATTGCTATAAAAGAAGATTCTCCAACCAGCTGCAAACTGCTGGGATATTCATGGATTCTGCTTCTGTGAGTCATCCCCTGCTCCCATACTCCAGTAAGTAATCCCAATAGCCTCATCTGTTTTCCTAGCTGGTTTATCACTGCTGCCTGTCTAAGAGAAGCAGATACTCGGTCACATCTCCCCCCAGACGTGACACACAATAGACAGAGGTAAAAAATGATTATATGTGAATATTCAAGGATTATTTTGTACAAAGCAAAGCAGTAGCACTCTTGACTTGAATCTCAGCTTGTCATCTCAGTGAGTACAAAGGTTCCTTTAGAAGAAAGTTGGCTCTGAGCTGTGAAGAACACATGCCACTGCTCACACTGGCCAGTCTCCCGAGGGACCTAACTCCCTTGTATACTACTTGCATTCAGTGATAGACGAAGGTCCCCCAAAGAATTGGGATTATAAAGTGTTTGGTATCACAGGGCATCAGAAGATAGGGTGTGAAGATATCAACAAGAGAATAAAAGCAAGGTAACAGACAGAATAATAAATAAAAGATGCTGCAGCAAGGGGGCATTAACCTAAAGTGAGGTAAGGAGAATCATGACAATGGAGCCATGAGTACCACTTTTACTAGAACAAGGTAATCCATATTAAGACAGCTGGTCTACTGCAAATGTTCATTTTCAGAGTACTAGACTCAAAGCAATGTCTTACTTTATACTTGTTGGGCCTCCGTGCTTCACCTGACACTATGAATTGTTTTTTTCTTACTAAGTAAGAAGGCAAATAGGTGAAATATTCCACTTCTTCCTCAACCATTTCAATGTTTGGTATTCTCAAATTTCACTCTCTTTTTCCTAGTCTTGTTTACTCTTGAGACAATCTGATCTACTCTCCTTTGCCAGTTTTATGTCTCCCCAGGTTATCAGTCTCTAGTATCAGTGAGTTGCTGGACAGTTCTAATAGAGTTTTAAAAAATCCTAAATTCAAAGAATTTAAAACAAAATTAATCATTAGCCCCAAACTTCTTCCATTCAATCTAGTATAATTCTTTCAGCTAAAAGCTAGAAAACTAGGCATGTCACCTTTGACATTTCCTTTACTAATTCAGAACCTGCCAATTTTTCTTTCTAAATGTTTCTAACTTTCTTCTTTTTCACAGTCCCAACATATTTCATGGAGACTGATGTTTATAAGCTAGTATCTCCACAGCTGTTTGTTCTCCTCAGCTCTGCCCTCTAAACAAAACAAACACAACAAGAATATGCAAGTCAGTCCTTGCTTAATGACTGCTCATCTGTGTTGGAAGGAAGTCACTTTAGTGGAAGGGCTCTGTAGTACTTACCACGTGGCTCCTGCCTATTTTGCCATTTTCCCCCACACTACTTCTGACATGTAGTAAATGTGATCTCATGTGGTTTCTCTCTAAATATAGTACCCATTTCATACACTTGCTCTTGTTCTTTTGTCTACAATGTCTAAACGTTAATTATCAATTCTTGCCAAAATAGCCACCTGTTTCAGAAAGTTTTTCTGGCAGAAATGGGTTGTCTACTATCTCACCCCAGTGCTTCAATAGATGAGCGCACTAAATTCTCAGTGAGCATGTATTGTCTCTCTCATCAGAAAAATCAATGAAGACAAAGAAAGGAGACCAAAAATAAGTTTGCATGTACATTATTTGTGTCCCATGCTGGAAAAAATTTACAAATGATTCATCTCTAATCCCATTTGCAGCCCTAAACCTGTCAATCAATGCTAAATGAAAGTGACTGACAGGAAGAAGGAGTGTATAAAAACAAATCACAGAAAATCTAGATTTCCTTGTTATAGTATAGCACTTCATAGTGGTCTGAGTTCTGATATTTGTGCTTATGCTGACTTCTTTATTCAATATAACTGAGCTAAAAATAACTCCAAATAAGCAATTTGTTTGCTTCTAGTCAGCAAACCTAATTGAAAAACTGTCCTGTCTTGGACATCAGATCTTTTAATTTATCACCCAAAGTATAATTTAAAGAGCTATGCCATGAGTAATCTTCCTCAAACAAGATATCAGCAGGAATATAAAAGCCTGTAGAAAATAAACTTAGTAACAACATGCTATTTAGCACATGGAAAATTACTTACGTGCAACAGCAATACAGCAGCAAGAAAAGACTGTCCTTGACAGTACCCAATGTCTTCATCAAACACAGAGTAGGCCTAGAGAAAGACAATAAAAAAGTCACAGTAAGAAGATTAGTAAATTTTATCTTAAGTTCTGCTTCACATGAGGTGCCTGTTTGTCCTGTCTTTGACCTTTCTGTCACACTTCATCCTACCAGAGACATTTGCTCAACCATGTTCATTGCTGCTCCATTCATAATTGCCAGAAACTGGAAATAACCTAGACGTCCTCCAACAGAAGAACAAATAAAGAAAATGTAGTTAATTTATATAATGGAGTATTATTCAGATATTAAAAGAGAAGAAACCCTGAAATTCAGAGGTAAATGGATGGAACTAAAAACCATCCTGAGTAAGGTACCCAGAAAGAGAAATATGGTATGTGTTCACTTATAAGCAGATGGTAGCTATTAAGTCAATGGTAAGCTGTAATTCATTGAATCACAGAGGGTAATAAGTACAGAGTAAGGGACCAGGGGGTACAAATAAAGCTTGCTTGGTAAGGAAAAAATGAATAGTTATGGATGGATGTGGGACTGGAAGAGGAGGAACAAGTTGGGAGTAAAAGAAATGGGATGATGAGGCAGGATAGCTAAAATTAAGGGCTCTTTGAGGGGTAATAGGGGAAACAAGAGTAGAAGCTTCCTAAAATAGATACATACAACATGAAGGCAATCTAAATGAAATTGCCAAACAATGAGGGAAACGGAGTCTAAGCTGGCCATCTCTTGTCACCAAATGAAGCTTCAAGTTCCAGGATTGATTTTCATCTAATTGAATTGTTGGTCAAAGGGGTCCCATGGGATCCCCAAAATAACCTACGTGGTTTCCAAGCCTAAAGTGTGCTCTCCACAAAAGGACAGCAAGGTCACAGAGCTGAAGATAACACCTACACAACTCATTGACCATGGAAACGTTGAGCTGGTTCCCACATAGAGCTGTCAGTACAGTGTGCTAGCATCCTTGGTACAGAAAGGTACTCTGCCCACTAACAGAAATGAAAACAAGTCAGCCACAAATTCTTCTTTTATTTTATTAATTAAAACAATGAAACAAAATAAGAGCTTAAAAAACCAAAAACAATGTCCTGAAGACAACAAATTGTCATAACTTAGAACCATACATTCTTCATCACATGTTGGACAAATTTCTCAGATTTGAGCAGTTAATTCCTCATACCCACTTGGTAAGTAATATCACTTTACTACCCCCTCCATCACAAATAAGGATAATAAGGCACAATGATTTAACTCTGCTTCCAATTTCACACAGGTACTCAACAAAAAGTGAGAGCCACATTAAAGCAGTCTTGTGCCAAATCTTCAATAACAAAGTACACTGCAGCACACCAGGAGTCATGAAAAGCTCTCTACACACAGTTGCACTGTAGATTAGTGCTGTGGAAACACTATTTTCAAGTTGCAAAATATATAACCACACATACTGATAGTCTTATCACCCTCGCACACAAATATACATATGCAAATGTGTATGCATTGTTAGGGTTGGTGTCTCAGTGTCCTTTTACCATGTTTTGACAATGAAAGAAAAACTTGAGTTTTGAAACAGAAATAGAAATCCAATATTCTGCATGAGCCATTTAAGGATTAACAAATATAACACACTTAGTGCATGGTATGGTCCCTAATATGCTCAAAAAATGGCGGTTATTGGGGTAACCACTAGTCTACAACAAAACTGTTTTTGGAAGCCCTAGAGCCAAGTGTGTGTGTGTGTGTGTGTGTGTGTGTGTGTGTGTGTGTGTGTTTCAAACAACATTATTAGTGTTAAAATACAGATATTTCTCCTTTTCATGAATTTAGAGGCAATGAAAGCAAGCCTATGACATGTAATTTTATTAAAACACTTTTATCCAAATAAGATAAGGGAATATCAAGACGATATTATCTAATTTATAAACAGTTGAAAATTCAAAATTAAAGTGTTGCTTTCTTATTTCTTTGGATGCCTCTTAAAAAAAACGAAAGTATAAAAGCCACAATCACATAAAGTGTTCTAGCTCCAGAGCCCAGGCTCTCACTGTTATCTATGTTTGCTTTGTGAATCTCTAGTTCTGAAGATTTGTAGACCATATAACCAAGTTCAGAAGATGAAGACAAAACATGACTCTCAAGCACAACTTCTTCTCTTTGACTTATACTCAGACAACATTAAAAAAAAAAAAGTCAGTGTTTAGCTGTGGGTGTCTGCTGAACTCCTGGAATCCAGTTGCAGAGAGGGAGGAATGATGAGCAAAGGGTCAAGACCAGGCTGGAGAAACCCACAGAAACAGCTGACCTGAACAAAGGGGAACTCATGGACCCCAGACTGATAGATTGGAAGCCAGCATAGGACTGTTCCAGACCCCCTGAATGAGGATGTCAGTTTGGAGGTCTGGTTAATGGTTAATCTATGGGGCCTTTGGTAGTGGATCAGTATTTATCCCTCGTACACAAATGGACTTTGGGAGCCCACTCCACATAGAGGGATACTCTCTCAGCCTAGACACATGTGGGGGGAGGGAGGAGAAGGGTCTAGATCCTGCTCCAAATGATATGACAGACTTTGAAGATCCCCTATGGAAGGCCTCACCCTCCCTGGGGAGCAGAAAGGGGATGAGATAGGGGACCGGTGGGGGGCAGGGGAGGAGGGGAGGGAGAGGGACTGACATGTAAAACAAGCTTGTTTCATGTGTGAGTTTTTCTCCTATTTCTGATTTCTGGTACAGTTAGATTATCTATTGCCCATGTTATTTTGAGTGTAGTTAACTTCCTTGGGTCAAGTTTTCCTTCTAGAACTTTCTGTAAGGCTGGATTTGTGGATACATATTGTATAAATCTGGTTTTGTCAAGGAATATCTTGTTTTCTCCACCTATAGTGATTGAGAGTTTTGCTGGGAATAATAGTCTGGGCTGGCCTCCACTGCTGGTGGGAATGCCAACTTGTGAAGCCACTTTGGAGATCAGTATGGAGATTCCTCAGGAAAATGGAAATCAGTCTACCACAAGATCCAGCAATTCTACTCTTAGGCATATACCCAAAAGATGTACCCTCATACAATAAGGACATCTACTCAACTATGTTCACAGCAGCATTATTTGTAATAGTCAGAACCTGGAAAGAACCTAGATGCCCCTTAACTGAAGAGTGGATAGAGAATATGTGGTACATTTACACAATGGAGTACTATTCAGCAGAAAAAAACAATGGAATCTTGAAATTTGCAGACAAATGGGTGGCACTAGAAGAAACCATCTTGAGTGAGGTAACCCAGTCACAAAAAGACAAGTATGGCATGTACTCACTCATATATGGATTTTAGACATGGAGCAGGGCATTGCCAGCCCATAATCCCACCGCCAGAGAGTCTGGGGTGCATGGAGGACCCTAACAGAGATATGCATGGTAACCCGGAGAAGGGTTATGGGATGAGATCTCCTAACTGGATTGGGCAGGAGGAGGAAGGGAGGTCAGAAGGAGACGGGAGAAAGAGAGGGAGAAAAGAGGAGGGGAGAGGAGGACATGTGAGAGCAAGAAGGTTAAGCCAGAGTAAGAATTGAGGAGAAAAGGATGGGAGATACCATAAAAGAGGGAGCCATTATAAGTTGGAGGAGAGAACTGGCACTAGTGAGATTTTCACAGATCTACAAGAACGACACCAACTGGCATTAAGGCTACCTTAAATGTCCTCCCATGATAATGAGAATGATGACTAACTTATATGACATCCTAGAACTCTCATCCAGTGGCTAGTGGAGGCAGAGGCAGACACCCACAGCTGTGAATAGAACTCAACTCCTGGAACCCAGTTGCAAAGAGGAGTGATGGCCAAAGGAATCAGGCTGGTGAAACCCACAGAGGCAGCTTATCTAAACAAGGGGGAACACATAGACCACAGACTGATAACTAAGAGGCCAGCATGGGACTGATCCAGACATCCCTCCCACCGAACCTGGGTGACAGAGAAGAGGCTTTGGCAGTCTGTGGGACCTTGGAGAGGACAGCAGTATTTATTCCTGGCATACAGTGGGGCTCTGGGAACCCATACCACGTGGAGGGATGCTCTCTCAGCCTGGAAGAACCTAGGCCCTTCTCGAGATGATGTGACAGATTCTGAAAATCCCTCATGGAAGCCCTTGCCCTCCCTGGGGAGCAGAGGGGGGATGGAGTAGGGGTGAGGGGTTGGGAGGATTGGGGGGTGGGGATTAGGGGAGGGAGAGGGAACTGAGAGTGACATATGTAAAAAGTTAAATAAAAATATGAAAAAAACAAGCTTGTTTCTAATTAGATTTAAGGAAAGGAAAAAAATTTTAAAAAGCTATTCACAAATGTTATAGCAGCTAGGAAATGTAGAGGATTAATAATCACAAAATTCCAAAGACTGGTTGTCTTGTGAGGAGGACTTGATCAAAATGAGGTATGGGATTAGTAAAAAGTACTGGCAATATTTCTCCTAATTTGTAAGTATAAGAATATTATTTTTAAAATCATAAATGTAAATTAAATATGCTCAATACAGTTAATAATTTTAAATTATAATTTAAATATTTAAAAAACATTCATTAGTAACCATTCATTGTATTTAGATTTGAACTTAGGTATCACCTCCAGAAAACATACAAAAGATACAAAGTAGATTTCACTGGAGTTTAAAAAACTACATATACACACAGTCACTTCTTACTGTTAATAGTAGTTGTGTTCTATGAAGTTGTCAGAACATTAGACTCTATGATTCTTAATTATTTTCCCTAGGGAAGAAAGGGCTAGGCTCCTATTCACCCTTGGCCATACAATTTTCTAAATCAACCACAGCATAACTTGGTTGTAGCTGTGATTCTGTTTAAAGGCAACAGACTTAACACATACTGCTCATTTATTATTGAATGAATTCATGCCTCAGTAAGGTGAAGGTGAATGCATAACACAGGCACATCACAGCCTCTCAGTCTCTAGCAGCCTTAGCCAGGCTTCAGTGCTACGTGTGGGGCCACTTTACACACCAAAATCACCAAAAATGAGGGGGATATACCAAT